TTTTTCGTACGAATCATAGAACTGGATCATTTACAAGAAGTCTTCAGATCCCATTTCTTTTCCTTTTAATTATATAAAGTTTAGACCTTTGCTATTTTTTGGTATAATTTTGTAAAGTTTAGACATTTGAATGTAAATTTTTCTTAGAGGCATTTTTTTTGTATAATTATATAAGTAGATACTAATCCATAATTATTGGTTTAGTTTCGGTTTAATTTCACAATTTTTTTTATTTTTATTTTTAACTCAGGAGGAACAGTCATAGGTTACTTCGTAATCGGATTACTGTCGAGAGACGGCGGAATTTGTCAGCTAATTTTTCAAACGATGGATGCGTAGAATCTCTTCTTCTTCTTCAAAGACCGAAGCTTCCAATTCTAATTTCAATTTCCTCTTTTCCGGTCTTTTCAATGGCGTCCACTTTTTCGGGTTGACCCGCTTCTTCTCATCTTCCCCATATCATCCCTCTCGCCCGTTTCTTCCGCTTCCCAAATTCTCCACTTTCGTCTGGTGAGTTGAGGTTCTTCCACTTAGATTTTCTCTGGGTTCTGTTAATACGAGTGAAAAGCTCAGATCTTTTGGTTTTGATCAGGTGTATTGTCTTCTCGTTTGTCTTCTGTCTCTGTCTCTGTGGTCCTTTGTATATAAATCTGTGAGTATAATTGATGGGTTTTGTAGTGGTATAATGAGTCAGAGATTTACATATTTTGTCTAACAATATCTCAGTTGCATCGTCGTGGTTGAATTTCAGAAAGATTTTCGTTTTGCAAGTATGAGCGGTGTTTCCAAGATAGTGTCTTCAAATGAAATTGAGAAATCTTCGACTCAGGAGGAGCATTTGGATAAGGTATATGATGTTTTGAGCTTTGCCTCGCTTGATTCCGACAAGAATCTTGAATGTTGCTTATAAAGATGTCGGAAACAACATTGGTGTTTCTGTTTAGATTAATGAAGTCAGGAGATCACTTGGTACGCTGCCTGAGAAGTTATCCATCTACTCATCGGATTCGGCCATTTCTCGATATTTACGTGCACGTA